GCTAGCAGCCTCGCACCGAGGACCTATCCACGTCATCATTTACCCAGAATGCTTTGTGTGGAAATAAAATGGCCCCGTCCATGTTAAACTATAGTTTTAAAAATTTCCTACAGTATTTTTAGTCTTTATTTTACAGTTAAAATATATGTTTATCAAATAAAGTCTAATGTTACAACTAATCAAGGTCCCTTTAAAGATTTCCCCTTTGATGTCACTTCCTGTTTCACTTTGGCTGAGCCACATCCAAAAGAAAATAGACCAGTTATGAGACAAAATGGGTAAAATTATGTGTATTATGATAATTTTCTTAAGTGTAAAGATGTTTTCTTTGACTTTTTGTGTTTTAAAGGATAGGCGTGTCACAGACACTTTACCTCCTTGTGTTTATTTACTCTTTCAGAAAACAGAATTGCAAAACCTCATGGATTTGGTGGATATTTGTGCAGCCACCTCCACGGGAGATCACAAACCCTGTGTGAAGAAGAGGAAGAGGAGCGGGCACACACGTCTCCAGCTCAGGAAGGCTGCCGTTCGGCCCCCAGCCATGCAAGGCCGAGATAAGCCCGGACCAAAGCAGATAGCGGAGGAGGAGACCGCCGCGTGGCTTCCGCCRAAGAAAGCCCCACAGGAAGTCGACGGCACGCTCAGGTTCCCGTGTCCTCGGTGTGAGGACGCCTCGGCGTTCGCTCCGAAAGACTTGTCGGGACATTTTGTGGACAAACGCGGAGGGAGCCCGCCGGTTTTCTCCTGCCCCGTGTGCACCTTCAGCACCGACGAGCTCTCCCTCCTTCAGGTTCATCTCTTAAGCCACAAGGACACTTTCTCCAGCTGCTGCTTGTGCAACGATAACGTGCCGCGCACCTGGCCCGAGTTCCGCTCCCACCTGACGGCGTTCCACTGCTCAGGCGGCAGATACTCATGCGAGACGTGCAGGAGTTTCTCCTCGGGYGACTTCAGAGCGTTCCTGGAACACATTCACAAACATAATTTAACCCTGGAGGGTGCCGGGGACAAACGGGACGGCAAAACTCCGGCCCGTCGGCTCCGCGGCTCCGAGGAGCCGGAGAAACRGTCCGTCGCTAAGCTCGTCAAAGCCGACCACGTTGGCCAGAGGGGGGTCCGCTCCGTCCCCGGAGGTAAGACCAGRACGACCAGGAGTTCGGTGAGGGAGACCTGCTGGCTGCCGCAGGACTGCCTGTCTCTGCCGGGGAGACAGTTCCTGGATAAATACTGCTACCTGTCCGACCCACAGGCCACGCTGCAGGAGACCCAGCACTTCCTGATGGAGACCGTAGCCGCCGAAACCGACGACCAGAAGTGGACCGAGGCTCTGAAAACGGTCCTGTCGAGCGTTCCCCCGGACATGAGTCTCTACCAAACGGAGGAGGGCGTCGACGCGTCGGACCTGGCCGTCCTCACGGTCAAGAACAAGATCACCGTAGCTCAGAACTACGCCAAGAGGTTGAAAATGTCCGCGGATAAGAAGGCGGTTTGTCCCGAAGGCMACGCCGGCGATGGGAACGAGAGCGAGCGGAAAGATCCAACCCGACGTCGGCAGAACAAACTCAACGACCTCKCACCGTCTGAGCCGTCTCCGTGTGCGGCAGCGCGGGAGAACAGGGAGAACCGGGAGCTGAWGATGAACTCTGAAGGGAACGCCGACAGAATCCATGCTTCAGGAGATCTAAAAGACGAGGGGCTGGAGAGGACGCTCGACGTCCCGTCCATGAGCAAGACGCAAAAGAGACGACGGAGAAGAAAGTCCAGGTTCAAAAAGAACAAGAAGAAGACCTTCAACATGGTCCTGAAGAACCCAGAGGAGAAGCAGTGGCTCTCACAAACGCCTGCGTCTCCTGAAGGACCGTCTGATCCTCGGACGACTCCAGAGACGGTCGAGACGAACCCCCAGGACCCCCCTGAAACCAGGACTTTGATTCATCAGTCAGAACCTGGAGCTGGATCACCCTGCTGCTCTGTAGAAACATCCGGACCTGAAGATCCAACCAGAACCAAAGCTGCGACAATCGAAGGATCTACCTCCCCTCCTCAGGGGGCGCCGGACGACTCGAAGCAGTCCGGTCTTTGCTCACAGGCAGGAGCAGACGAGCACAGATCAGCCGATGGAAGAGTCCGGTCCAACCAGAGGGCTGCTCCTGAAGACGTGAAACTCCAGAACTCCACAGATGGTCCCGCCTGTCGAACTGCGGAGGAAGAACCGAGCCCAGCTGCTGCTGCTGCAGCTGCTGGACCTCAGGGTGAGTCTTCTGCTGGTCACCGTTCAGTTAGGGCAAAATTTATCATCTGCAACCAGGGCCGTCACTATGTTTTAAGGACAAGGGGGCTTAGCCCCCAGGAGACGCACAGAATTTTTGTATATTATATACAGTATTTGTAATGTGTCCTCTCTCTGTCTATATATATA